TTTTGGATGATGGATATGGACCAAGACCAATAATACCATTTTCACTATGTAACATTACATGGACACCCTCTGGGATATAATTACTAGCTAACATTGGCATGCCTATGCCCAAATTAACTGTTTAAACTTTTTGTTAAGGGTATTTAATTATTAAACCTTTTGCTATGACAGCAAAGCTACAATTTGAAAAGGTAAGTGGACAAACATAAAAACAGTTTAAGATAATAAATAATTGTTAAACAAAGGATACTATACATGCCATTTTTAAATTCAAGAGCTGCACGCTTAACAATTGTTTCTCTTAATTGAGCTGCAGGTGAACTAACTAACATGGAAATGGATTCATCAGATTTTTTGGACAAAACTGTTTTCTAAACAAGCACCGGTTATTTTTATTATTTGAAATATTTAATTTATATTAGATTAATATTTTACTTCAATCTTTTTAACATAATCCTTGCCCAACACAATTCTATCAACATATATTCCAGGAACATGAACTTGATCTGGATCAATATCACCATTTTCAACAATTTCTTCAACTTCTACAATCGTAGTTTTTGCAGCTGAACACATCACTGAATTAAAGTTTCGAGCCGATTTACTACCAAAATTAAAATTATTATTACAAATGTTAATGAACTGTTTGTTAATAGTATTACTTAAACACAAGATTTCCTTCATGGTCAGCCTTTTGTGCTTTAATGATAGCATAATCGGCAGTAATTGCTCTTTCCAAAACATAAGTCTTATCATCAAAGATTTGGGTTTCTCGAACATCACTAGCAACTTCAACACTTCTACTTGGGTTGTTTTTGTTTGCTTCATTGTTTTCATTATCTTCAGTTGATTCTTCATGCAATGCATACTTTAGTGGAATTCCCCCTTCTTCCACAAGTGTGCCTACAGCAGTTGGAGTATAAAAAGCTGGTATACCTGCACCTCCAGCTCGTATACGCTCAGCTAGTGTTCCCTAAACATGAGATTTTAGAACCATATAGAGCTAGCGGATCAATATGTAACTAATTAATATTATTAATCTACAAACTTGAGGAGTGAGTTCTACTGTAAGTTCTCCATTTAGATACTGCTGAACAAATTCAGAATTTTCACCCACATATGAACCGATTACTTTAGATATTTTTTTTTGTTTCAATAGCTTTCCTAGGCCAAAATTATCCACACCTGCATTATTACTTATAACTGTCAAGTCTTTTAAATCTTCTCTTTCTACTAAGCCATCAATCAGTTTTTCAGGAATACCACAAAGACCAAAACCTATAATTATAATAAAAATTTGAAATTAAAAATCAACATATTTCATTAAAACTATTCATTTTTTCATAATTCCTAATGAATAATATAACATGTTAAAACATCATGATAGTCACAACAATTTATTAGTTTAAACTTTTGTTTAATTTAAAAACAATAATACATTAATTTTAAAAATATTACAAAGGGTTTTAATATATATATATGGTTATGTAAACAAGTCTTAACATTAAAATAATTTGGTAAAATATATTGTTTTGATACATTATTTGAGACATGAGATAATAAACTTCAAACGTAAATTTAACTAGTTTAATAAATCAAAATAATTTTTCGCCAATCAAAAATTAAGACTAACTATAACAATATTTTTTAAATACATTATTTAATTATATGCATAAAAATGCTATAATTTGTTATATATATTGTTAATCTAATTAAATATAAATGTATTCTAATGTTTAAAAATTAATAGAGCATATCACTATAAGCTATTAAATAATATTAATCATTTGACTAACCACCAAATAGAATTGAACTGCCGGGTTTAATATCCTCTAAAGCATGACTGACAGAAGTATAAAGTTTTTGTTTTTTAAGACTAACATTGAAACTAAAATTTGACACCTAAAAAATAACTTTATTTAGTTGAGAACAATTTACAATTCAGTTTATCTCACCTGAAGCACAACAAGATTTTTTGTTGTTGGTCTAAAACAACGACGATTTCTGTATAATAAGAACATTATAATTGTACCTTCAAGAGTTGCGACATTCAAAAGATTATGTATAAAAGTGATCACTTATCTTGGTTTTAAATTAATTGGCATTCAAAATAAAAAAATATTAAAGTTTGAACTCTAATTTTTTTATCGTTATGTTATCAAAATATAGACCTCTTAATCGCGTTTGTGTTATCAACTTGCTATTCAAGTCGTAACACTGATAAAGCCGTAACATAGTTCATGACGATTTAATTTAAATTTCTATCTTCAAACTGCTCACTAAACTTGTGGGCAATGGACATGATGTAGATAAATAAAAAATATAAATATTATATTGTTATCTATTCGTTCTTATGAATTTTAATAAGTCCGTTCTAATTGATAACTTTAAAGTAAACTGAAAAATTGGAAGAATCATTTTTGGTTTACTTGTTTGTGAACCGTAATCTCTAGAGTGCATAGTATTTCATTATTTTGTTAAAAATGTCATCGTGCTTAGATAATGCTGAAGACACGAACGTCATACATAATAATGAAGAAATAAGTCGATTATCTGCCGAGATAGCACTTTTAAATGTTGAATTGAATAAAAAAACTGCATTATTGAAAAAAAAACAGGTACCTAATAAATATTAATAGATAATACAATATCAAGCGAATTTCAAACTTGTCATTTAAAGTTGTGAGATTTAAATTCATAAAACTAATAAACATTTCACATTATATTATAATTTATAATGTGATCATTCTTAAAAGATTACCACAGTGAATAATGAGGAAAATACAAAATTATTGAGAAAAAATAAAGTGCAAAATATAAACTTCCCAAAATTCAATCAATTGTAATTATTTTATAGTATATTGAGATTTTGTCTTCTATTTAAATATTAACTTATACCTTAAATATAGAAGAAAGATTGTAAAATTAAAAATTGAATCTAATTAATGATATTGCCATAAAAAAGAAAAAAATAGCTTCTACCTACAATTAATCTGAGAAATTTTTGATGATTTTTAAAATAGGTCCTTTATTCACTAATATCTTTATAATTATTTATTATTTTATTTTATTTTATGCCAAATGTACTTTAAATTATGTGCTGTTGCAATATTATAATATATTAATACCTACCTAAAATATTTGTATATTTGTTAGTTGTCATATTTTTGTGCTTGTCACAACATATTTTTATTGTATTGTTAAGAAAGTATACCTTATAAAATCTTAAAACGTTAAAAAGCTTATAAATAATAAGTTAAATATGTTTTTAAATTATTAAGTCTTAAAATAAATAGTATATTATTGTACATTGTTGTTACCTATTATTCATTTACAAATTTACAATGTTAATATGTACTTTATATTTTTTGAAATTTCAGAAACAATGTTTGACTAAATTTGACATTAACCGTTATAGCAGACAGATCATTTTACCAGAAATTGGTGTTGAAGGACAAAATATTTTTATACATTTACTTTAATAATTTAAAAACTAATAATATTTTATCAGGACAAAAAAAATTAAAAACATCAAGTGTTCTTATAATTGGCGTTGGTGGCCTAGGATGTCCATCATCAATGTATTTAGCAAGTGCTGGAGTGGGTACAATCGGACTTGTTGACTATGATGAAGTTGAACTTAGTAATTTGCATAGACAGTTGTTGCATGCACAGTGCAATGTTGGTATGCGAAAAGTCGAGTCTGGCAAATTGTCGTTAAATCGGTTTGTATTTGAATATTATTTATTACCAAAAAATGTTTTTCTAAAAACATTTATATTATTATTACTTTTAAATAATTATTATCTATAACATTTTCAGTATGAATGAAGATGTTAATATTGTTGTTCATGACGTTCAATTGGATGGTCAAAACTCATTGGATATTTTTAAACAGTATGATGTAATTATAGATGCTAGTGATAATTTAGTTACTCGATATATAATTAATGATACTTGTGTAAAAGCTGGCAAGCCTTTAGTCTCGGGATCAGCTATACATTTTGATGGGCAACTGACTGTTTATAACTACAAAGGATCAATATGCTTTAGATGTTTACATCCAAAACCACAATCCCCTGAAACTGTAGGGAATTGTGCTTCAGCAGGTGTTTTGGGACCAGGTAACAATATATCATTATAAATAAAAATATAAGACATTTGCACTAATTATTATTTATAGTTCCCGGGGTAATTGGTGTTCTGCAAGCAATGGAAACTATCAAAATTATTGTTGATCATCCAAATGTACTTTACAACAGTTTACTGTTATATGATGGGGGAGATTGCGAGTTTAAGAAAATTAAATTAACAAACGTAAAACGAAGTGGATGTATATGTACTAAAAATCCAGAAGATATAACAATAACTATGGATTATGAAGAATTTTGTGGATCAAAAGCAAATGATAAAGTAAATAGAATCCTTTTAATATTTTTAAAATATTAATTTATTGATTGTTTATTAGTTCAAAGTGCTTAATTTGCTGAAAGAAAATGAACGTATTACAGTTTTTGATTTAAATGAATTGGTATCTAAAAAAAATCCATTTTTAATGATAGATGTACGTAAAAAAGTAGAATATGACATGTGCCATTTACCTTTTTCAATAAATATTCAGCTAAGTGATTTAAAAAGTAAAGATACTCGTTCTAAGTTAATTGAAGAAATCAATTCATTTGGTAAAATGACACCAAATTGTAAGTAAAATTAACATTGATTAATAATTTGTTAAATACCTACATATGCAAACAAAAAGACAACTGTAATATTATATATGCAAATTTTTACAGTAATTACTATTTGTCGCCGTGGCAATGACTCTCAAAGAGCTGTAGATGAGTTGAAAAAATACAAAGAGATAACAGACAATGTTAAATGGATAAAAGATGTCATAGGAGGATTATATGAATGGAGTATGCAAGTAGATAAAAACTTTCCAATATATTGAAAATAAAATATTGTTAATTAATTAGATTGTAATTAATATAAAATTGTAATCATATGGCAATTATTTTGATAATAAAAATGTCTCTTTGAATTTTACATTTGAACTAAGTATGTTTATTTGGTTTTATTGCAAGTAGTGAATATCTGATTGTGATCTTAATCGTTCTGCAGCTTGTTCCGCAGTTAAATCTCTTTGGCATTGGGCTAGCAGCTCAAATCTAAACATATACACATAAGTATAATTGAGTAATGATCGGTTCTCTTGAAAAATAAGTAATAATATTATTTACCCGGATATGAATTTTTTCACTGTTGCTGAACGTAACAATGGTGGCAAATAAATCCCATGAAATACCCAATGATCACTACTTTCACAATTTGGTCCAGTTGGTGCACCTAACAATAAATTGGTAATACAGTAAATAAGTATTATTATTTATAAGCTTAATTTTTGTAATAATAATTTTAACATACCATGCCAACCCATTGAATATGGAAATGATGTTTTGAACATGTTATCATATTTTATTGTTAATATTTTCATTACTGATGCCAAAGTTGTTTTTTCGTGTTCTGTAATTTCATTCATCCTTTTTACATGTCTCTTGGGTAATATCATAGTCTCATATGGCCATATAGCCCAAAATGGCACCAAAACAACCCAGTGTTGATTTTCGGTAACAATTCTTATCTATTTAAAAGTATATTTTAAAAAGTAACTTTAGTAAAAAATTAATATTAACATATCTAAATAATTATTTTTTATACATACCACCCACCCTCATGCCTGTACTTTATAAGTAATACAAATAAATAGTAATAAACTAGAATTATTAAAAAAAAAAAAAAAAATACAAATTATTTCTAAATACCTAATATAAAAATAAAAGGTTTGTTCTTTTTATTTTAAGTTTAAACTATAAAAAAACTTTTATTTATTTCCACTTTAACTAATTAATATAATTAATGATTAAATGTATTTCCTTATTTAAAAAAAAAATTGATGACTGGGATAAAATTGTATATTATGTAAAGAAAAAAATTTTGGTTAAAGTTACTGTTGTACTAAGAGAATTTGGTGAACAGGTAAATGATTTAAAGGGCTACTCATTTTAGGTAATACAAATTAAAAGATACATTTTTATTTTATTTAAAAATGAATTTTATGTGAAATTTGTGAAAAAAATTATTTTATCCCAATTTAAAAATAGTTATTATTATTATTTAGAATTGATGTTTTTAATTGCATTTTTGTATTTTTATTTTTATATGAGTTCAAGTATTTATATTAAATAAGGACACCCAATCCATATTCTCCCACCAAAAAGAGTTAGCATGGTACAGATAGTAGTAATTTAGTCTATGGGCTAAACTGTTATAATTTTGAATGAGGCTTTGACCAAATGGTACTATTATGCAGCACAAATAATATTATAGTATTTAATATTTTGTACTTTTGCTTTTAATTCGCGATCAACATAATCCATCAGCATTGGTCTTCCATACTTTTCTAAGTATTCTTTCTGATGAATATCTTTTATACGTGGTTCATTCGGTAAAAACGAACAAGCCCATATTTGACAATGAGGATGATGATTAGAACAACCCATTATAGCACCTTTATTTTCAAAAATTTGCACCCAAGGATAGGTTTTTCCTAATTCTTCTAATTGCTGTATCCAACTGTAAAAAAAAAAAAAATAATTAAAATGAATAATATTAAATGAATATAATATACTACAAATTATACCTTGAAATCACAGTTACTATATCATGTATAGACATGAGAGCTATTGTCACATTAGATTTAGGATAAAAACACATAACACGGCATGTTCCTTTAACTCCTTCGATTTTAAACAAAGGATCATCACTTTGGGGAGGTGATGGTGTATCCTCTAACATGGCTGGAAAGTCATTTGTAAAGACATATGTGGACTTATAATCTGGAGTCAACTAAAAATAATTTCAAATTATAATATTGTAGATTAAAATATAAACCACAATTATAATATTACATGTTTATATACTAACAATACCACTACTCCTGACTACTCCAGGACATAGTGGGTTGGTAGGATCAAATTCTGGACCCATGTCATTGAACACAGATTCTGTTTGTCCATCCCAGGGTCTTTTCATTCGGTGAGGAGAAACTAAAATCCATTCTCCTTTTAATGGATTGTACCTCTTATGAGGATGTTCTAAATTAAAATTTTAAAATGTTATAAATTAAAACCAAATAGTATAATTTTATTATAAAATAAAATATCTATATCAACAAATAAATTAACTATTACTCATTTTTTTAAACTTTTATAGTATTAATTTAATTTGTATTTAATTATACATTTAAACCTTATAAATAATTCAAAATTTTCATTATTTAATATTCATAAAAAACTTAAATGTTTTGTGTTGATATTTTTTTTTTTCTTAAATAATACCTAATTAATTTTTATCATAATTTAAACATGTTCATAGATTTTATAAAGTATAAATGAATATTTTATATATTTTCTTGACCTTGATAAATATTTTATTTTTAGTTAGTAATCATTAGATAAATGCTTACCTACTGTATTTTTTTTAAATTAAAATTTTAATCAGGAATTTCATAAAATGTGAATTAATATTATATTTTTATCATAGTAAGTAAAATAATTAGATTTATAAAAAAAAAATATCACATATTTTTTTACACTTCTATTCCACGCCAATTAAACACTTCTTAAGTTATAAATAAGAAATATATTTTAAGGTTATCTTTAAATGACCTGTTATTTATAAATTTATAATACTAAAAGAACAATTAAATAAACATATTAAACACTTAAATACAATAAGTTAATATTATAACTTTGGTTAATCCACCAACTATAACCTTTGGATATTAATGAAAATTTTAAATTTAGTTAGGTAATTGACAATAAAGAACTAAGATGCTGAAAAGATACTTAACATTTATTTCTTATTTAATTTTGAATATATATTTTTAAGATAAATAATATAAAGTTAAATATGTTTATTTAAACATTAAAATATGATTTTTTTCTGTCATAAAACAATTTTAAAATGACGTTTGTTATTTTTATTGAGTTGAATGATTTATTTGAACGTAAAACCAATGGCCACCCTTCAATAACTGTGATACAAAAATTACAATCATGAAATTTGTTGATCCGTTACGGTTTAGTAAAAATAATCATGATTTAAATTACCTATTATAATAATGTGCGTTCTTTAAACAGGTTTTTTAGGAGGTGTAGAAAATCCATAAATAAAATAATCAAATACGGCTCCTATTATTGATCGATTCGGGTAGATAAATTTTTCATAAATCGCATTTGTCATTATACCAAATATTGTCGTTTGCATATTTATGGTTGGAAAATGTTTCTTTGTTATTTTTTAATAAAACGATATCGAACTTACTGTTGAAAATTGATCATAATTTCACAGAGAAATAACTTTCGAGGCTATGACTACGAACCATAATAAGATAAGTAAGTTTAAACTTTTGTTCTAGAACTTTCAAATAAATAAATTTCAATTAAAATTAAAATCATTGTTTTTATATTTTTAAATTAATTAATTTTTTAATAGGCGAAGTCATTCAAATAGTGGAAATTGAAGAGTTTAAATTTGCTCGAAAAAAGTAGAACCTTAGGCACCACGTCAATGAACTTTGGTGGTATTCAAAGAGAACTCAAGGCATATTTTTTAATACCCGTTAAAAAGCGAGATAAAGACACCCTTTTAAAAGTAGGTAATTAATGATTGGATTTTTCCAGGAACGACAATTAAGGTATAGAATTATAAATACTCTAATAATTATCGTAATTATCTAAATAAATAATAACTTAGTCGCAGTCAACACGATTTTCCCGATAAACCTGGTGTCTAATTGCATCCAAAATGTATTTTTTTTACCTCGTCACCTAGTAAAGATGGTGTGTTGCATAACAAATCTAGGGATATTTTTGTTTTTAATTTTCGGAGTGAGTGACCTGCTTGGTCTTTAAGTTCACCTAAATTGCATTTTTTTACCTTATGACATTGTACTATTATTATTTATTTTTTGGTTCCTTGAGTTAATTAGAGCTTAATGTTTGGAAGATGAAGGATTTGTAAATTTAACAATGAATCATTCCATTTAATGCGAGAATTCAGAAATAGGAGCACACACTAATAATATTCAAGGAATGTAGCATCATTTCAAGCTTAACTTTCCCAAAATCGCAGAAAAAAAGTTTTAAAGTTTTATTCAACTAAGTGTATGTCTTTAAAGAAATGTCATATTCTTAAAACTGAAACTTTGACATTAGACCTAGCTTGAAAGTCAGCTGTATGATACGAAAACAATACAAGAAAATAATATATTGATCAGCAAAAAATACTCTTCTGATAATACAGGAACTGGTGACAATGACAACAACAGTAACAATAATAATATATTAATTAACGAAAAAATTAAAAGTTAAATTTTTAGTTTCAATTATAAAAAAAAAAACAATAATTTTTTGTTTTAAAAAAATAAGTACGATTGTTAAAATCTAATTGCATAATTCTATCCATTATAAAAAAAAAAAAAAAACATTAAAAAAGTAATCTTTTGATATTTTTATTAACGATACTAAAATGTTTAAAAAAATCAATATTATTTTATAGTTTTTTTGGTATAATTTTCCAAGAAAAAAATGCGAGATTTTTTCAAAACACTTTCGAATTTAGTGATTTAAAAAAAATGTATTCAAAATTGAGCATGATAACTAAACTGCATTTATTCTCTAAACTTCCTCAAATTTATCTTATTATTATAATAGAGTTTTAATTTATTTATATAATTGAAATTTACAATTTTTTTGATGAGCCTAAAAATAATATTTGCTGTAGCTTTTAAGTATTAACCTACAGTATATTTGAGTATTTAATTTATTAGGCAATAGGTTTAATAACTTCAATTAACTATCTTAAGTATAAAACAATTGTACAAATATATAATTATTAACTTAAATTATTTTAAATTAAAAATTTGTAAAAAATTTTTTTTATATTTACACACTCATTGGCCATTGCGATAAATTATAAATTAAATAACATTGTGATGATATAATTACCAGATGCATTGAACTCCATGATGTGTCTTAAATTTATTTTCTATTGAATGTATCAAATAAAGATGATTTATCTTATTTAAAGATGTGTGTACTTGAGAAAAAATCGACAATTATTCAATTGACGTGTTTGTAAGGTTTAAACACTTTTAAAGATAAGATAACACAATGATATAGCTAATTATCAATTCATAAACAACATTCATGATCATTATTTGATTTCACTGTTATATTTCTCAAATTAAGATTCTACATACTGTATCACCAAAAAGTAAATAATAATAATAATAATAAAAACACTGATCATTTAAAAAGATATATTATATAATATACTTATAATTAATTAAATAAAAATAGTATAACAAATAATCAACAGTTAATTGTGTATTTTTATATTTTATTTTCTCCAATATTGAGCAAATTTATGCAATTGTTCAACAAGTACTGCCATCACAGCTGTAACAGACACATCCAATAGATTTTGGAAATAATGAACAGCTTCTTCATCGCCCAAGTCCAATCTGAATTTATCTTGAACTTTATTAACAGTCTTATCCGGTTCTAATGCAATGTCTGGAACACTAGCATCCACCATCAATGAGAAAAGATTTAGTATTAGATTAGCATGGCGCCTCAAGTGTAAAAATGCAGTATAACATAATTTTCTGAATTCATGGTAATGTTCACTGTTAACACCACCCATTGCTTCAACCATTTCTTTGCTTAATTTCATAGGCGGAGGTAATGGTTTAGGGTCTCTACCCAATATGTATCCAAAATCTATGTGAAACAGTTTACCTGTTGAAGTCAATAATAAATTATCAAAATGACGATCACCGACTCCTAATAAATATGTAATAACACAGTAACCGGCACAACTTTTTATATAATTCTCCATAATATCAGAAGATATTCCAAAGGGTGCATTCTCATTTGGATGGGTCTTACGGAAATAATTTTGTATTGAACCTTCAGTTGCTAATATTTCAGCAACAGGTAATGAATTTACAAATTGCACAAAACCGTGTCTTGTACTTGTTGCTAAGACTCTGTATGGAGTAAGTTTTAAATCTAAGTTTTCGCTTCTTAAAAGTTTATCCATAAGTGTGATGATCTGTAGTATGAGTTGATCTTGTCGCAAATCATCACCATGTTTAAATATAGCTACATACTCTTTGTTATCTTGTACCGTGAATGTGAGTCTTGAAGGCATTAAAGCAGACTTAAAAAGTACTGCTTTCTCAGGAACTATCCCTGTAATATGTATACTCGGGTCAAGTGGTAAATGTAAAGGTTCAAAAGACATAAAACTAAATTTTGTATCTGTTTCACCTAATAACGCTTGCAGCTTATCGATTTTCTTTTTACGATTGCCACTTTCCCTGGCAACAGTTTTGATTATTCTAACCAAACGATCAATAAAGTTTTGTTGACGTGTCAACATTCCATGTATTCTTTGACATTCTGCACTACCATTATACAAAGTCATTAAAAATGTTTTCATAACACTTAAATACATGTTACGGACACGTATATCTTGTTTAATAGTAGAATCTTGATCTTCACATTCAATCATCAGATACCAATAAAAATAATTAGCTAAACTGAAGTTTTTACTTGCTCTATGAATCAAAAAACGTGCCAAGTCCATATCTTCAGGTTTACACATTTCAAAATGATTGATTGTACAAGCAATATTACTGTCACTACTATCTTTCAAACTTAATCCAGATACTGACTCTGTCAGACTATCGGTTACGGGGTATTTATCTTCCATTAATTTTAAGCTATTGTTGATGTGTTCAAAGTTTTCATACTTAAGAGCTTGAACCAACTGTAATAGATACAAGAGTAAATCTTCATCAGTTGCTTGTTGCAATCGTTCTACAGCATATTTGCGTACTAACGAATGTTTAAATGCTGGACTTAATAAACGCAATGAATCATCTACATCCATTGGAGCCCATTGATACATCATATCTAATGCTTGCATAGCCTCTCCATGCAATTTCCAATTTACACATTCTAGGAATTTTGTTAGAGCTTTTTTTTGATTACATAAGTAAAATCTGTACTTCCATATAAGATCTTGTTCTTCAGTTGTTAATATTTTTGTAGGCGGATATCCAACAATAGTGTTTAACATGTCTCTTATTGTTGCAGTTGGTTTTGCATCCTTGTCAGATATTCCACTTCTTAAACTCCTGGCAAGTTTATGATGTTTACTTTCTACTAAATTTTCCTGCATTACTTCAGCATCCGGTACAGTAACTATGTCTGGATTAACTCTAAATGGATATATTTCATCACCATCTTGTTCATAATGTACAACACTATAGACAGTACCATTCGATATAATTTCTGGAAATTCTATCATTAAATAAGGATAATTGGAGGTCTTTTTTTCTTTTTCATTGATAAGTTCAATTTCTCTAAATGTTAACCTGTCCAACCAATCAACTTCAGGAATATTGCCATTTCTATGTTGTTTGGCCAATTTAGCTAGGGATTGCATACGATTAGTGTCGGATAAACACTTTCCTGGTGTAGAAGATATATTACCATCAGCTTCTCGATCAGGCCATACTCTGAGATCAATCATACCTTGTCGAAAAACACCATGTTTGCCAAACAATGATATAGATGTACCACCAACTGCTGTCATAGAAGCTGGTCCAGCACAGTCATACACTGTCAGCGTTAATAATGCATTTCTTGGCAGATCACTAAACTGGATTGGTAATATAACCCATTCATTCCAGCTCCAACGGTTAGTAAAATGTTTGTAAGAAGTCGAAACAGGTAAACTAAGTGGTTTACTGTCACTGTATACTTGGCAGTACACTACCAGATCAGAAATTTGCTTTTGGTATAAGCCAGAAAATTTTTTCATTGGATCATTAAGTATTTTTTCATAATCAATGTTGTGCTTGATACCTTCAAGGGTTCCAATTTTTATCTGAACATTTGTCTCTAATGAACAACTATACACATAGTTAAAAGTGCTGTTCAGATTATTACTCATCTTAATTGTTTTGATATCCAACATGAAATATCTAATAATTTTAAATTAAACGATAACTTACATTGTTTTTAAATCCTATTGTTTACATATGACAAATTTAAACACCCACACTTTTTAGAAAAATAAAATTAACATAATTTTCGATTTAGGTATTCCAAATAACATTACTGTTACCTTCAAAGTTCACATCACAGATACAGTAATATACTTTTACAAGACTATTAATTATCTCTTAACTCTTTCCCATGCTACTAAAACGTTATAAAACTATATTATAACTTGGTAATAAAATTTAAATATCAATGTAGAAACTTGCAAAAAAACTTGTAAAGATAAAATTGTTATCAGTTATTTTCACATAATATCTATTATCTGTAGTTATCATTGACCTAAACTCTAAGTTTAGAGTGTTTAGACCATAGACTTATAATTTATAATAGACTTATACTTCTATTACAAGTATTTAGTTTTGAGTGTTTTAACTTAAGTTTTACTTTGTTTATAGATTTATGATTTTAAAAATGGATATATTATCACTTTGAGAATTAGAGATAAGCTTAATTTGTTTTCAAATAGTAGGAACTATGAATAATATATGTATTATTTATTAATCTATACGTCTTGTACAATACTTTTTTGAGTTTATTAATGTATTTTAATGTCATTGGTATTAGCATAATTTGTAAATTTTCAATATTATGACAGGTTATAATTTGTTCTATTCTGCGGACTGTGGTATCCATTAGACACGGACTTGGATAATATAATTTACCTCAGTCAATGCATAGTCTGTCGTCTCAGGAATTTTAAGTTTTAGTCGTTTTAGGTGATCATTCACGATTCACAAAAATTAAATAAATTATATTAGTATAATATCAACAATTATGGTGACAGTTAATACACATACAGTATACACAGGCTATGAGAATTATTATGAATCTTATATTTTTCCCATAGTATTCGAGCCGAAGGATCTGTTTTGAGTTTTCATATTATACATAAAGTCATATATATGACGTATGGTATATGGTATATATCGATAAAAATGTGATAGCATTATCTCATTGTTACCACCTTTGAGATTAAAATCTAGAAAAGTAACCATATGACCACACAACAATATTGATATCACAGTTTTTGGCATCGTATTATTATTTTTTTACAATTCCCGTAAGGCCTTAACACTTTACATTATTCTCATTTCTCTGTTGTCACTCTTGTTTATAAATAATTTACATTTATTATTTTGCTGTGATTTTGACTTATACAAGAATTGTGCGTTAAAAAATTGGTATAGCAATCATGAGCTATTCACCATCAACGCAGCCTAACGTTACCAAGCCAGATTGGCTGAGTCGAATCGAAAATATGAAAGTCAACCGTAAAGACATGAATAAACTTATTATGAACTACTTGGTGTCTGGTATGTATAAACAAATATCTTCTGTCCACTTGTACATTTTAAGAACATGTGCAAATTGTGTTATATATTTTAGAAGGGTTCAAAGAAGCAGCTGAAAAATTTGAACAAGAAGCTGGTATTAGTTCTCCCCTCAAGTTAAATACCTTGGGAAACCGCATTAAAGTGATAGAATCTGTACAGTCAGGAAAAATGCAAGAAGCCATTACACTTATCAATCAATTATACCCTGGTTTACTAGATGATGATCGTGATTTATACTTTCATTTACAGGTTAATATTTTTTTATAATCTTGTTCAATATTTATCATAGCTTTTTAATTCAAGTAGTTAATGTCTATATTAATAATGATTTGTATCCTGTCTAATTTAAATTATAAATACCAGTTAATTATTAGTTTAAAACTTTTGAGACTAAACATGATCTAGTTTCTGTTTTATTTTATTACATGGTCCTGAAAATAAACCTACCATATTCCAAAAGACATTTACAAATAAACAAGGATAGAGAAATAATCCTTTTATTTTTTAACAAATACTATACCATTTTATATTAAATAAAATAATTATTTGGTTTTGAACTCTATGTCTTGTAAATGGTAGTCTCAGTTGTTAAAACATGGACGAAACCTTTCTCAGAAGTTATTCCTAGTTCTTCATATCATTTCCGGTGAAATGGCTACCACTTCCTGGGTGATTGCTTCCTTAAGTGCTTATAAAATTTGGGGCGATGATTGTGCTCTTGCACCATTAAATATTCTTTAAAAAAAATAATCACAAGGTAATAAATCAAGTGATCAAGTAACTCGGAGATTAGGTGATGTCTCCTCGCAAAGAGAGAAGACATTCAACAAAATAACTCTTAAAATTGTTAGTAAACATCATAAGCTATGCTTCTGTCTTATTGGAACATCACTTTAAGCACTTAAGGAAGAAATCAGCCAGAAAGTAATAGACAGCCATTCTATCAGAAATGACTCAAAGGGTTATGGATAACAATTATAAGCTATAATATTAAGAAAAAATAAAATCAAAGTTTACATTATTACTAGATTCAAAATTGCCAAAAAAATATTATTTTTATAAGTATAAAAGTATGATAAAAAAATATTCACAAAATCATAATATTACATTTATAGGATTAAGTTATAAGTGATACCTTTTAAATAACTAATATTATCGTTAGTATTATAAAATAAAATTAGGTTACATATTTTTTCTGAACAATTTTTATACTTGATGTTTTTTCACACCAGCAGAACTGTTGCTGTTTAATGTCCTCTCAATGTTGCTGATTTTTTAACACATCAATAAATGTCTATAATTTTGGATGATTTAATAAATTTCATAACTCAAAAATCAAATTAAAAAAATATAGTTCAAATAAAATATTAAGCACAACACTTTTCTTGATTGTCATATCGTTGATAGTGACACAAAAATTTGATGTTCATGTATATTATTACGGGGTACACTATATTTATGATAAAAGTAATCACGGCAGAAAGATTTATTATTTTAAGTGGCTTTGTTAAGCATTTTTAAATTAAATAATTTTAAACAGTGACATAGTCAGGATTTTGTTTTGGTAGTGGCTTTTAAAATTTATTATATAAGGTATGCTTTCTAGCATCCCTCATGAATTTGGGATGCTAATGCCATGGGGGTATTTTAAACTTTTAAAGCCATTTTTGTTCAAATTTAAATTTTAAAACATGGTTTAATACTTAATAAGTTAATAGAACAATGAAAGCAATTTTAAATATTTTTGAAATATAATTCTCTTAGTCCCACAACTGTCCAAGTATACAATTATTGATTTTATTTAAACTATAAAGAAATATTTGAATTTTGTTTTGTATCTATACTTTTTCATCATATAGTTTCATTTAATGTATTATGTTTTATTAATTTAGTCATATTACTGATATTTGAAAGTTTCTGCTATACATTATAGCTTAATAATGCATATATAATAATAATAATTTTATTTATCTATGCTTAAAATGTCACTAAAAATAAATATGAATAAAGGAAATGTTCAGATGTATTAAACTTGAGCTCAGCATTCTCTAATACAACTTTTTTTTAAATATTTTACTGATAAACAGTGTAACTTGGGGAGAAAATGACAGATGTGATGATAACACATGTAAATTGAAATTACAATGTTAAAAATATTTCAAATATCAGTAGTAATTTATAAATGTAATACTATATATAGATGAATAAGTTATAAGTTATTAAAATTACAGATATTAAATTATTATATTTTGTATTACATATTGTTCATTTTGTGCATAATTAATTACTTATTGTGTACCTATAACTATATAATATTCTTAGTTAAAAAAACAATGGAAATTTTTATTTAATTTTTATTTATTATGTTTGTATTTATTTTTGAAGCAATTGCATCTAATTGAACTTATTAAAGAAGGTAATATTGAAGAAGCTCTTGTATTCGCCCAAGCTAAACTATCAGAAGTAGGAGAGGGAAATCCTACTATACTTACAGAACTAGAAAGAACACTTGCATTATTAGCATTTGAAGAACCTCAAAAGAGTCCATTTGCTGACCTTCTTCAGACTACACATAGACAAAAAGTAAAATGTGATGTTATTAAATTATATATTAATTCTAATACTTTCTTAATATATTTAACAGGTATCTAGCGAGCTAAATGCAGCTATTTTGAGATTTCACAATCAACCAACAATTACACCAAAACTTTACAATCTTATGAAGCTAATAATGTGGGCACAAGATGAATTGGATAGGAAAAAAGTTAAGTTCCCTCATATGACCGATTTTGGTTCAGCTACATTGGAACCTCCTAAATGACGCACAGTTAATGAGTACGACGACGTGTGTTGTGACTCTTTTTGGCTGTTTGAACATAAGGATTAAATTTTGAATATTGTTTTTTTTTTTTTTTTAATTTTAATTGTTCATTATTACTTTCCTAATATTATTATATACATTTTTAGGTATGAAGCATTATTATAAACAAATTAAGAAAAACTATACATCTAAATTTATTTCTCTGATTTTGTTTGCTAACAAAGTTTTTAAATGTATTTCTTAAGTAAGATATTACTATATTAGAATACTCAGATTTATTCAACATTATTTGTATATTATGTGAAATTTTACCAAAAAATATATTGTATAGTTTCATTTATTAGTAATGTTTTTTAATTTAAAATTTACTCATAATTTACAATAATGGTAAGAACAGTGGCTTCTAATGAATTAAATGAGTACTGTGATGGCATTTTGAAAGATAAGATACATTACTTGCTCAATAAGTTCATAATAATATAATATTATGTTTATATTATTATTAGTCATGGGGATACCTGGCTTGTAAATTAATGTGTATTTGGCATTATGGTATCCAAATCTTTTATTACCATACTGCAGAATTTTTGACACATATTAAAAGTAAATAAATTTTATTTCTCTAGTCTATTTTTACATTATCTTTTAAATAATCTAAGTATAATAAATAGTTATATTTTAATGTTAAAAAAATAATAACCAACGTTTAAAACAAGTAAATGTCTTAAATTAAAAATATGTATTAATAAAAAGCAAATGATTCACAAATCAAAAATTTTTTTACAAAATGGAGCATTTTTTATGTCAAAAATTATATTTTATTTAAAAATTTAGGTCTTTTACTATTTCTTACTATAAAGTAAATAATTTGTAAATTTTTAGATTGAATTAGCTTCCTAATGATTAATTGAGATAGAAATGACAGCGGATGGATGAATAGCGTATACTTTTTTATTTGAAAATACTCGTTATGAAATATTTTTAAGTAGTTTCTAATCATATTTATAATGTTTATCAAAGAACTATTTTTTTTAATATGTATACACAATTGTATTCTTAACATAACGTAAACACTATTCATGTTATATGATACGCAAATTGATTGAATTTTCCACTCTGTACACAAGTGTGGCTATTCCAATAATTGTTTATTATTGTTATGTTGAAATTTACTTGCGGACTATAAATGATTTCAAGTGCAATAATCTACTTATTACAAAATGTGTTAGATTAGAATATAACAAAGTAAATTTAAAAAAATATGATGTCAAACATCAATAGATACAAAAGGCATGTATACAGAAAGGGTTTCAGGATTTAACCACACCCCGAAATATTTTTGAAAAAAATTTTTTCCTTCATAATTTTATTATATTTTGATTTTTTTGTACCTATATATTTTTAACAGTTGTAGTTCATGTTTCACTTCCACAAGCCAATATTTACAAACTATTTAGTTTATGAATGTATCGATGCTGTAAAACCGTATCCGTTGGTGTTGTGTGTTATTTTATGGTTTGTTTCGCCTTTTAACAATTCGCCACGTTAAGTGTGTGACATTTTAACTATTTCTTTGAACATACGTAATAGATGCAGCGTGCAGCGTTCACACTGTAGACACAGTAAATAATTCTTTGAACCATACATTGGTTATTCGGTATATGAACACGAATACATGATTTTGTTTTTATTCATAAACCTGATACTGTGTATTAGGTCTAAATTTTTTATCCAACTTTAATGATAACGTTGTGAGTTACTGATAACAATGTTTGGATTTGGTTATTGTGGGAACACGAAGTACTAAAACGTCAAGTAATAAATAGTGAATACCATCATTAGGTACACCGTACACAATAGTATTATAACATTTCAAATTTCAAATTTAAACGCTGGTTACTTTTATCGTATCTAGCTAATATTTGAAAATTTCATTTGTAAGATAATAATTCGGTTTAAAAATATTTTGTTTTTTATTTTTATTGTGTTTGTATACAATTTTATTCGTATGTGTCTGTAAAACTATATTTGCATTAAACCATGTCAAAACGACTATCAAATGAAATCGAAATTTCCACAAAAGGTTTGAATAGAATTCCACGTCATAAAATATAAATATATTATTTTTTTTTTTCCCCATAGACGGTGTAGACAAAGAAAAACAACAACCAGACAAAAAACCAAAGTTATCATTTGGAATGACGAAAAAAACTCTTCCAGCAAAATCTGGCATTAAGATAACTCTTAACAGCCCTGCCACTGTAAGTATATTTATTAATGTGAAACTTTATAAATACCCAAATTCAAGTGAATGTTCAAAATTTTAGAATTTTAATACGTGTTTTTATAATATAATGTTTGCTTTTAGAAAGAACCACCTATTCTACCAAAACCAGCATCAAAGTCTGTTGCGGCAGTGTTTGGTGATGTTAGTGATGACGAACCCGAAGAAATGCCTAAAGAAGCTAGAATGCGTATGAGGAATATTGGTAGGGATACTCCAACGTCAGCTGGACCCAATTCATTTGGCAAGACTAAGCATGGTTTCTGCAATACTGGCAAACTTATGGAAAAGACACTTAAAGAGGCTACAAATGCACTAATTGATGATAAAAAATAGTCATTATTTTTTTTCACAATTATCGTGAATGTTGTATTTACATTTATTGCACAGAATTAGTTTTAAATATTAATTAAGATAACCATGACTGTGTATTTATAAAGAATTATTGAAAGGATATTTATCCTTTAGTCCAATCAATTGGCCCTTTTTTTATTTATGTAACTGTAAAGTGTATAAAATATACAAGCAATACATATATTATATATTTTTTTTTTTTATAAGTATTAATAACATTAAGACAGTTTTCATCAGGTAAACATAACAATCCTAGTTATGTGAACTATTTATTTTTATTTTCTTGATAATATAATGTGCTTTTCTATTAAATATAATTTATTATATTAAACATTTAAAATCAATGAAAAATATTAAAACTACTTACTAGTCCTGTTAATAAACTATCATCATACCTATACAAATTTATCCTTCATGATAATCGCAGTAAACTTACTAACCTCTAATAACTTTTTTTTTTAGTTTCAAGTTTTTATAAGTTTATAATATATTCGTTAATAAAATTAGTTGACTGATATTAATATTACATACCCTTATAAATATTTTAAAGTAGTTAAAAATTTTGCTCGTAAAAATAATTTGACAATTTGAATTTATTTTTTTATTCATTGCAATTATGAAAATAATGTGATATTCTTGAAATCAAAACAAATAACTATGTTATTGTCAGTCCCTTGATTTATGAATTTTACTTATGCTGAAGAAAAGGTATTGACTTTCCTGATAAATTCAAGATGGTTATCAAGTGAAATCAAGAAATATAGAAGTATGCTATAAAATAAGTACAAGTATGGAGTTCCACAAAAGAATGGTGTTTTATAGATCAAGTTTTGTATAATATTCTATAAATAATTTTAATTTCAAGTATACTACAATTAAAACCTACATATACCTACTAGTTTGCAGTAATAAACAGGGAAAACTATGCAAACTAAAATAGAATTAGGAGTATACGCACAGGATATTTAGTAGTTAATGAATCAAATGATAAATAACCATGTTTGAGTATAGATACAATAGTTTTTATTGCTTCTTCAATTAGAAATATGTACCTTTCAACATCATTAATAAAATTGTGATTCATTTTTAAAAGCCACGTGAATTTCAAATAGGATTAAAGTGATTAACAAGTTGACAGCATTAAAGATGTTAGTATATTTGTATTTTAATTATTTATCAATTGAAATTTATGTTGCAACACATAAATTAGTCAATTTAATTTATTTTATCGTTTTTATTTAATAAAAGATTAAAGTTAAATTGTAAGTTTCCATCGTTTCCAATTTGATAAGTTCAATCATTAGCTGTTTTTATCTTTTTATATGTGTTCATATAAAATTACCATTTCTATTAATATGTTCAAAATTAGTATTTGTTATTTGAGATAAGACATAAAAAAAGTACTAGTACTTAATATACTTAGATAATATTTTATTAGATTACAACTGATACACGTTACTTGTCAATTATTTGAAAAATATACAAGCACTTTAACCATATTTTATGTGCTATGTCTCACAAGCTTATGTGATAACAATTTAATTCATTGTTAGTTATAATTAAGGAATATCAACCCATTGAACAATTTCAAGGTAACAATATTATCCAAGATATCTTAGATTGTTATTGATTTTTTAATTAAAAACAAATTGTGTGGATTTTAAACCATGATATATTCATTTATTATCTTGCATTAAAATCAAAAATCTAAAAAAAAAACCACACAAGATGTCCACCTTTTTAGTAAATTTAATAAGTTTGTTACAGAAATATATTAAATTAGGTAATAAGAATCAAATGATTTATAAGTATCATTAACACAGACTTACCAATAAAGTACTTAAAATATTTGTGGTACCCACTGTATAGCTTTAAAAGAAGGTTAGGATAACATAAATACAATTTTTTATTTGTGTCAGAATCAAAATGTATTTTTATATCTTAAATGAAGGTATAATATAATTTTGTATCCCCTAATTCAATGGGAATTACGTTTTTCTTTGAGGTTGTCCTCCTTGACGATTGTTATCCTAAAACACAAAATATAATCATAAGTATAAATATTATAGTGCAAAAAAAGTAATCAATAATAGTATTAAGCTGTCCTTGTATTGTTTTGAACAATTATCATCATGATTTTACTGATGTTTCATATCAAATTATAAATCAGGAATATTAAATAAATATAATGTTATTATGATGAATAAATAACAATTCTAAGTTTATCTTACCCCACGTGGGAAGTTACGGCTTGGTGGTGTTCTGATGCGACGGTCAGCCTTCGATCTGTTCCTGACCACTTTGGAATGGATGGCGCAAGAAACACAGTAGTGCAATTTAGCATATAATTTTGGCAATTGGTATGCTACAAAGACAATATACTAATTAATAAAAGTTAAAAGTATTTAAGACTTTTGAACATTAACTGTATGATACATACATGTATATACACTAGCATCAGTTATATCACGGACAGCGGCAGCTTCAACAATATTACGAATAACAAATTTCTTGATAGCCTTGTCTTTGGGTACGCAGCGTGCGCAATTAGTGCAACGCACAGGCTTGACGTGACCACGGCCGTGTTTTGATCTTCCTCCATTACGGCGCTTGCGAGTCTAAAGTTTAAAATATATTAATATTTAAGAAGAGTTGTATCTAGATAAATTAATAATAAGACAATCAATAGAATATATAAAAGAGAACACATGGACATAAAGTCATTCAACTATTCGTATTACATTTACGATACAACCGAAAATTCATAAAATACAATGTCTAAATTTAACAACAGTATAATTTTAATAATTTGTTTAAAGTTTACTTACCATTTTGATGTCGATATAAGGATGAAAAACTTTAAAGACAAAAGACAAATGAAAAACGAACGTAATTCGTCAACATAAAAAGGACTAGAAATCGAATGGACGACTTAACTCATAACCTCACAAAAAATAAAAATTGGCTGATTTGGTAGCGATGGATTACATATTTCATGGAACAAAAAGACCAGTTTGGGTTTTTAATCGAAAATCCGTATTATCTATACATAATAATGTACCATGAACTTGGTTAGCCTGTATTTGGTACTGTACATAAGTACAATTTACAATAAAAAATTCAAAATATTTTAAATATCAAATAAATATTTGTATTAAATTTATATTAAAATATTATAATAAATAACAAAATGCAAATAATTTATTATTTATGTAGTATGTATGGCGTATGTTATGACTGTCATGTGTACTTGATATCTAATATTATATTTTTGTAATTTTGAGTTTATATTAAATTTCCGCTAGGTCTGGTTTGTCACCAATTGTAGACAAAATGAGGAGAATAGATGGAGAAAGCTCGAACGATTTGAATTTGTTACACGGAGAAGTAACTCGGAGGCAGTAAGATTAGTATTGGAAATAAATGTAGAAAAAAAGAGGATTGGAAGACTGAAGTAGAGATGGATTGACAAAATAGTGAATAATACCTACTAAACTATAGCTGGTATGAGTAAGTAAAAAGTGACAGGGAACAGAGACCTCCATCGATGGAGGTGTAGCCTTAAATTTAGTGCTATAAAAATATTTGATATGATATTCTTGACTGTTTCCTTGTTTGTATTTAAGTTAGATATGTATTTACGTATTTGTTGTTGTATTTATGACGTACTCTATATTCTCTTTTAAAAGGATAGGTACCAAATATCGTCCATTTTTTATATTATTTTTAAAATTTAAATATTTTTATTTTTGAAATGAATATACAATCTATTTTTTATTATATGGTTATTGTTTATTAAAAGTATTACAAATGCGTCAGTAAAATATACTACATATTTTATTTATTTTAATTTTTCCTATACACGCTCTGATTCAGTACTACCATTCGTTATGATGGGTAGTGATCAATTCTTTTGATTCAATTTCAGTTTTGCTATTTATTAACGAGTAATTTATGTAAAAAAGATTTGATTCACCGTCGATAATAATATATTTTTCTATAATTCTTTACCTATTTTAACTGAATTTTGATTAATGTTATTATTTTGGGATTCAATTTTTGTCTGGTAAGTAGTATAATATAGTTAAATTAATTTTAATTATAAACTCTGAACTCATCGTTTTGTGTGGGTTTTCAACGTTACCTAATGTAATTTCTGCAAACTTCTTAGAACGTGATATCGCCACCTACAATCCAAAACTGTAAGCCGAAAGATAACAATATTGTTTTCTTAATTATCCACTTAATTTTGGAATAAGATAAATATTCGTATTTTATTAAGTTATAAATACCTATCAGATTGTATGTTCATTATTAATTTTCATAATAAGATTTTGTTATGATAATTTTTAAGGTTAAATAAAAATAAAAATAGTTTATGTTTCTTTATAATACAAAAGTATTGTTGTCTGGAAATTTTTTTATTAAATTTACATAGGTTATTTATTTATTTTTATCAATAGTGTCCATTGATCATTTTTATAAAACAGTTTTGTTTGGTTTCTAATACTTTAGAGTCTTTAGACCATAATATTTGTTTATTTGATTTCTTTGTTTATAATAAATAGATAGGTAAATAGATTCAAATCATAGATGAATGATAAGTCAAAATCTTTAAAGTAGCATCCTGATTTACATTTTGGAATAGTAATTATAATTAAGATTTCTATCGTAACTCTTTGTGACTTTGTGTATCATATTGTTTGAGACATACATAAAATTAGTGGGCGCTGTAATCTTTATCTCCAGCTACGTTTTTTTTTTTTTTTTTTTACTGATAAACTAAAGATGTAAAATTTTATTTTCAAGATAAAAAAAAAAAAATTATACAATATTATGTCTCTAATTTGCCTATCTAACGTGCCGTCATAAATGTATTTTTTTATATAGGTATATAATAATATTGATTATAAATTATAATATTATACTTAAATAATACTGAAGAATCCTATATTTTGATTTTACTCTATTCATTTTCACTCTAAATGTTTCTATTATTAAATTTATTTTTGTTCATCATAATACATGGTTTGTTTTATAATATTGTACAATAAATCGAATAGCCTTAACTCAATATGTATACTTTTAAAATATATATGCTAATATTATTAATCTTGTATTATAAAATTATAATATGCTTATGTACGATAAATAAGCTTAATGGAATATAATTTTTTATTTGTTTGAATATTAAAAATCAGGTTATTTTGTATTTAATTGTTATTTTTAATAAAATAATTATTGCAGTAATTTCAGTTTGTCGAGTATGGACACCAATGAAGGTACTAAATAATCAAATACATAAATTTCTTATTTTGATGTAAATTACACTCTTGTTAGGCCAGTGAAAAACGGTGAATTTTATTTGATGAAATTTGGTTTTTTATTTTAACCCATGGATTTGTTAGGTAATAAGTTTGATTATTCTTTTAATACCACGAAAAATTATTAAAGAAATGTTTTGGTTTGCTGGTTTATAAATTATCTTCAATCGAATAGATTTCGTTTACTTGATTGACAGAAATAAAAATAGTGAATTTTTATTGTCATATTTTAAAGTTTATATGTGCTTGAAAATTACAACAAAAAAATACTTTGCTTTCTAGTATTACTCCTACATTTATCAAAAGAAAACTATTTTACTCAATTTAAAAAACAAGAATGATCTGTGTATTGTAGAAAACGCGGAGAAAGATATTTGATAAAAGTTAGAATTTTAGTTAAGGAATATTTCGGATTAATTAAAGAACATGCTTTTTCAATTTTTAAGTTAAGGAACTTATGCATTTTTCGAGTTGAATATAATACCAAGGAATTTTAAAATACATTGATGGGGTCATGGGAATTCAATTACCTATTATTAGTGTTGAAATTAAATTTATTTTGCATGTGAAAGTTAAATATTAAGATTTATTTATAGAATAAGTGAATACAGATTTTCAGGATCATTTGTAATTTAAGTTGTTAAGTATTTTTTATAAAAAAAAAAAATTCAACACTGAATTTTTTTACTTTGACACATAATATTAAAATAATCTGAATATTTAGACTTAAAATGGTTGAATATTTATTTTATAATAATATTTCATCATGAACAGACCTATATTAATAAAGAATAATGCAACTAATTACCTAAATATTCTATTTTAGTACATTTGAAATATATTAATATTGGATATTGGAGTAAACATTTTTATTAATTACAAGTAGGTATATTGTAATTTTTATGATGCTGTTTTATTTTTTAGTCTTTTATTCTGTGTTTGTGTAATATGTGATTTGATATTTTTCTAAAAAATAAAATTGTTAACTATCATTTTTTTATAATCACAATATGGTGTGTATTTTAAATAACATTTCTATCTATAAAATATTAATAATCTAACCTTAGTCCCTATAAATATAGCTAATTTAACTTATTAAACACCTTTTAAGTGCTATAGTATGTTGTTAAACAAATTATGTTTAAAATACACAATTTATAGTTATTGAATATTTTTATTAACAGGAATTATATTAATAAATTAACAAAATATAATGTATATTGCACTGTATAACTATTAAAATACAAAAATATAAAAAAAAAACTTAAAATAAATTGTAATTCTTATAATTAGTTTTTTTCAATTGAAATATAAAAGTTTTTAGATAACTTTGGCACGTTTTGATCATACAATACTTTCCATGTTGTTATTGTCAGGTAATACACTTAATGATTTTGGCATTTTACTGTTTTCTATGACAGGTACCACACCATTCTCCATTAAATCTAAAATCATAAAAATGTACATCTATTTAGTACCTATTAAATCTATGTTTTTAGTTGTAATTTATAACATAGATATATAAAGATTGTAAGATAGGTATTTTTTGTCACTAATATAAAATAATATTTTAATAAGAATTAAATGTTGCTATTAATGTTTTATATGGTAAATAAGTAAATAAGCTGTAGACTGCATTGTATTCTACATGAACCGCCCTAAAAAAGTTTGGTTGTTAATTTTTGGAATTTTTAGAAATTATATAGTAATGTATTAATGGTAGGTACATTGAAAGTACTACCCAATATGTCAGTATTTGATTTGGTTTTATAAGTTGTAAAATTTAGTTAATTATACCTATTAATACATAATCAGTATTTATTGCGGCCAATTAAATCAATATAAGGTGAGAAACAGTAGTGCAACCAGGATTTATTCAAGGGGGTCCAAAAAAATGTATTTATCTATTGTTTTTCTGTTATTTTTCTTAAATAATATATACATTTTATCGCTTAATAAACAAAATTATATTATTTAATATATTTTTAAATTTTTAAATTTATATTTACGATGTATGTCAATTATTATTATTATGCTAATTGCTAGTTAAATTATGGTACAGTCATTAGACAATAGTCTTAATAATGATTTTATTTATACATCGAGTTCGACGTGTTTATCAAATTTAATAATCAATTTAATCAATAAAATTTGATGAAAATTTTTAGGTAACTTTAAAAAATAAAAATAAATACTATGATATAAGTCAAGGGGGTTCGCCACGGATGAGAGGGTAGAAAACATTTGCTTTTTACAATTCTCATTATTTTTTTTAATTCGAATTAAAATAATCTTTGTTAAATTGTTAAAGTATTTAAGTGTTGCTTTGTTCTGATGATAAAATATACTTTACTTACTAGATAATGAAGGTGATGGTCCTTGGGAGTTGCTAAACATTTTGGTGCTATATCCAGAATCATTGCATGGTATATCATCGTGACGTCGAGCTGTCAGATAGTCCAATCGCCATCGTAAGTTTGGGTCCATGACCGTAGTATCAATAGCACATTCTGTTCGAAACCGGTTCTCCAACTCGCTGTCGTTGTCGCTCACTTCTTCAGACACCTGCACAGTGCACAACACAAGTTTATATATAGTGTTACCTATGTTACCACTATTAACTACAAGTTCATAAGGAAGTTTCCGGTCAACGAATATCGATTATATGTAGACACGGTAATTTGTCATTTATTGAAATTGTACGGGTTTTTTTTTTATTTAACACATAACCTACTATTATTGTTTTAACCTAACCGTTAAATAATGCATAAACCAGTTTATTTAAATTATAGATGCCTATTATGTAATTCAAAATAAAGTTTTTTTTGAGAATTTAAGTTAATCGATAAAAAAAAAATAATTAAGTTCAATCGTTACATCGTTAAACTTAAAGAAATCTTTATGCATACACGATGATTAATGACATTACATCTGTTTTAAAAAATAGAAGAAAACAATTATCTCTTACTTCAAATAAAATAATAAATATATGATAAACATCATAGATTCATACCTAATAAATCAGGGTAGTGACAAGGGGAGGGAGGTACTAAAGAAAACATAAAATTCATACATTTAAGTAAATATACTTATATTAATTTACACAATAAATGGTAAATAAGTTTTCTTTTTTTAATAAGTATGAGTAGGTAGTCTATTTTTTAAACAGTCTTATTGTATTTGCATTTTCTTGGCAGAATTTAATATGAAAAGTTGTGTAGTTGGCCCTATTGTTACACTTTCTCTCTGATTTATGTTTATTAAAACTAAGTCATTCAAATTTTCTTATGATATTGTTGACTTAAGGTAAGTTTTAATTCTAATCAGGGAATAAAACAAATGTTCTGGAGTTCTTTAAGTAACAACAGGTAGTATAAATAAAAACTTTGTAAGTGTTTAACGTTTGATAAAATATCTTTGCAATGTTGTATTGCTTCTATTGTAATTAGTAGTACGTTTTGTCTGTCTATTAATTTTTCCACGGGTAGCACTTAAGCTAAATATTGTGTAAAGAAAATCTTTTTCGTATGTAAAAGTAGCCAATACGATTGAATTATCATCTTATAGATGAAAACTACCTTGAAGTGGCAATACTCGTTTTAACCTTTCATCAAATCTATTTATTATAAGTATATTATATAACTCTCATTGTGTCTTCACTGTCTTCAGAGTAAATCATAAGTATACCACTACAATAATATTGATAAAATACATGGAAAAAATGTACAATATATTATATTTATATGCCAGACAACTACACAATAGTAATTTACACGAAAAACATAACTTTATCTCCTGATTTGATTTATATTTTTTATAATTATGGTTAATTTACTTTTTTTTTTCTAAATTTCTATTAGGTATAACGAAAATGTATATACGTATTTTAAATTGTAAAATAAATATGATAATTTTTTTACTTGTTGAAGTTTTTCATTTGATCGCTTCAGCTGTTTCTCAACGGAACACAATCTCCGATTAATATTATCTTCGGTACGACAAATCTGCCGTTTCAGTTTTTTCGTATTATGATCTAATCGAGCTTCTAATTCCTTGAAAAAGGGTGCACAGTAACATGTGTACCCAACTCCTACTGGTCCTTTTCTAATATTTCCAGCTAAGTCAAGATAATATTGTTCACCTGCGTGTAATGGTTCTTCAGGCAAAGAATTCAATTTTGGTTTTGGAAACTCCTTAGTATCCGGAAAATAATGGCAACCATAGGGAGACCATTGTTTTTTAATGTTTGTGTCGGTTCGTTTTTTACTCTAAAAACATTATTATTATAAAATTAATTTTATTTGTTTTGATTATTTGTAAATGAGTTAACGTACGTCTTTTGAATCATTTTTTGTTTTTGAACTGCTACTTTTCTTTTTGTACATGGGGTTTTTTAAAATTTCTAAAATATCAGTCAAATTTTTGCGTTCTGCTATATCTCTAGCAGTTTCATTTTGCTAAAATTAAATAATGTAAGGTTATACAATGTTTAAAAATAATATTAATTTTGTTAATAATTTTTTTACATAATTTTATAATATAATATTGTACAATTAGTTTTATTTAGAATTTAGTGTTATAAAATTATATGTATAAATTAAATATAAATATTTATTACAATATTTTAAATATTTGATGGTATACAGTTTAATAATAGTATGCGATTTACTGTTCCACTAGGTACTGAATTAATATCATTAAATAATTATATAATGTTTCACTTGAATGGACAAAATAAATAAATATAAATTACTCAGTAATAAATTACCTTATTTTTTAATGTAGTATTACACTTAGCTTGCAAAATTATTTTAGTTAATTTTTTCCTGGCCATAGCTGCGGCAATATGCAGTACCGTATCACCATTCTGTTCCACATTAAAAACAAGTATTAATTTATTGGTTTTTGCCGTTTATAGTATATAATTACAATTTCAAACGTGCATGTATTTGTTAAAAATAATAACTTTATACTAACTTTATTTTGTTCTGAAACTTTACACTGAGCACTTATTAATATTCTTAGTACTCCGGCGTGTCCATACCTGGCGCTTGTGTGAAGTGGTGTATCACCATACTAAAACATTGAAAAGTAATACAAAATATTTATTATAATTAATTGTATTTACACTTTTATAATTTTAAATATTTAGACCCGGATTCATAAATATACTTATTAGTTATTATTTTATTTTTAGGTTTTAATCGAAGAACAATTTCAACTGTATATTTTTAATTATCCTTTTAAGAAACATGAAGTACCTATAGCCATAGATTAAATATATTTAGTATATTTAATCTATGCTATAGCGTACTAGATATTGTTCAAAAGTATATTACACATTATGTCAACAAAATCACACCCAGCGTACAGAATTAACACAGGGCGTATCTAAACTCATTTAACGGTTTGTTTTATAATATGCGAAACAAAAACATTCATTACGGCTATCAAAGCGTTTATATAATGGTTGACTATACTGTGAGGGGATAAGTGAAAATAGACGACATTAACTGATATACTGGAACCAACAATTGAGTTCCTGTTGGATTTGTTCCAGAAAATTGAAATAGATACTGCCAATATATTATGTATTTTTGTGGCTAGCATAATTTTTTGTATACGTATTTAAATGTATCAGTGTTTGGATAAAAAATGTTGTTTGTTTTATAAAATTAATCAAAACATAGACGATTGTTGAATATTATACGAGCTAAACAACAATCGATCGATCATTATAATATTATATTCAAAACAAGCTCAATAGGGAAGTGGAAAAAGAAAACGAGAATATGATGCATTATGCTGTATACAGTCATACAGATGCGATGTCCTATGGAGAAGTATAATAGGTATCCTCGGTTGAAATAATGTGACATATTATTAACTAGAAGAACCGGTACGAGCAATGAAATCGTCTGATTCCGGTTTATGGTATTATATAAAATATAAATTAAAAGCATGGAATTACGACCGTACTAATATAATATAGACGTATATTAATTGAAACGTTCACTAATGGAAACTGTACCTAACTCGTAATGAGTACATCATCTTTTTAAAAATAGCCGTTGTTGTCAATTATGCACAGTATATCAAAACATAAAGCACATAAAGCCACAAATCATCATGCAACTTCATAAAGCACACGTGCATAGGAAAAAAAATATTTTTTCAATATTATAATATAATTATTCAGCTGCAACGCTTATTTGTTATTTATATATATTTATAAAAATAATATGTCAAGGCCCGTTTTGTATTTATTTTTTTGACAACCATATAAAATAGGTTATATTCGTTGTAATACATTATTAATTTTGCATACATTATTTTGGACATCTGGATCACATCCGGCGAGTAGGAGTTCACGGCAGCTTTGGTTATGTCCATTCTGACAGCACAAATGCAATGCAGACGATCCTCCATAATTCTTGCGATCCAAGTCGCTGCCGGAAGATGCGAGCAACGCCACTGTTTTGCTATAACCCTTCCAACTAGCTTCGTGTAGCGCCGTATTTCCATGCTATATTATAAACACAATCAGCGTCATCATAACAAATATAAACTATTAATTATTATACAATATATAGTAGATACAATAAGTATCAAATTATATATTCACAAGAATGTTAAGATATTAATTAATAATTATTGATGAGTGGTACATGATTGGATTCTGAAAAAGAACTTTAAATATGTACATACGTTTAAAAAACGAAACAAAATTCGTCAGAAATCGATTTTACATTGTCCAAAATAATTATATTTCTTTAAAGCTATAATATAATTATTATAAATCCAGTTGCTGTTCATGTCAATATATAAAATATGCAACACGAGCAGTACATGACGTGTGTTTCGACTTGAGAGCGCTTAAAGTTTGGCACCTCTCTTTCCTCAAAATAGACATTTAAGTCATATATTAAATTATATTATGTTAATGATTCACCTAAAACCTATACCAAAACTAATATACATATGAGTTAATGAACACCCCTAAAATTATCGATCAAACCTTATCAAGCGTGTAGCATCTATTCATGGGTTCGATTTTTTTTAAACTATTTATAACACCCTAGTTGCTGCACCTATATTTTGCTATTAATTACCACTCCAATACTTACGCGTATATAGAAATATATTGTACAAGTGCCGTGTCACTTGGTAATAAAAACCCTGCGAACGCGGAGCACACAAGTTAAACGAAGTTTCCTCCCTACCCGCCTTGAGCTTACCATGTTGTCGTGCAGGTTGACGTTGGCGTCGTGTCGCAACAGCAGTCGCAGCACGTCCAGATGGCCTTCAGCCGCGGCGATTTGCACGGCCGAATAACCGACCGCGTCCTGGGCGTTGGCATCCACGGACCCGGCGGCCAAAATTTCGGCGACTGAGCCACTGTCGCCCGTCGACGCGGCGTAATGCAGGGTCGTCCGGCCATCGTCTAGCATAGGTTCCTCAACCGGGTTCAGATCCACCATTCCAAGTTTTTGGCATTATCTGCAAAACAACAGATGATTTAATATCTCTTTTCTTCAAATAGGTTTATTTTAAAGTATGAGAAGAAGTGTTCATAGAGGGAGATAACAGAATAAAGGTTTGCCCGCACATAAATGGATTTTACTCGGTCATTAAAATAAGGTACCATATTTGACAACTGTATATGTTAAAATATTATTTTCAAATTATTCATTAGTTTCAAACTAAACGGCTTAATTTCATTTTGATTTATGAAGGTAGATTTATCGGCTATTCTGTCATAATATACTCTTGACTTCACACTAACCGTATAGCCTTATTACAACTATTATATAAAGTATTATAGTTTGATAAAAAATCTATTTAAATCTCGTTAACGAGTTAAATATTAATAAATTATGTTATTAATAATTAATGTTTAGTGCTATTCACACCTAATTAAATTTGAAATTGTATTTATATTTAATATTCATTGTTTAGAAAGAGTCTGGTAAAATTGAAGATGTTAACTTTAAATTAAAATTATTTACTTACACTAACTATACATTACATTAATTAATATACGCTGTATTTACACAACTAAACAAGATTATAAAAGTACAATACGTTCATATTTGAATTAAGTTACACTAAAGGATATCCTAGTAAGTTACTAATAAAGTAAATGTTTAATCTAGGTAATTATATTTTATTACTAAATCTTAAGGAAGTTTATACAAAAGTTTTAAACTTGAAGTTTTAGCGTGATGTAGATGAATATTCGCATATACTAATGATATTTATAAAAAAATATAGCTGGTTGAACACGAAGGTTAGGTACCAATTATCGTGTTAATGTCATATGCATGTGTGATGTATTAAAATTGATTTTTTTAGAATGATTATGGTACATAATACATAATAATATAATAATTATAAATGTTATGTTATGGATTACCGCTACTAAGCACTTTTTGTGTAAGAATATTCAACGGTTTAATGAATTGTTAAACATTTGGTATAAATTTAGTAGAAAGAGCATTAGTATTTAACAAGTGAGTACCAGAGAACCAGGGGGCGGTAACCTACAGTTGATGAGTGAAAGTATCACGCGTGTATGTATGTGATATGAATGAAGATTGCTATATGACTAGTTGTTTATTTTAAAATTTTTAAATTATAATAATATTTACCCGTTTTAATTAATTTAAATGAATGAATTAACTTAAATTATTTTACAGACAATATTGTTTTACGTATCAATATTATGACTTGCATAAATAAGTAATACTTGAATAATTAATAGCTATAATATGTTTTGAAAACTATTATCGTCTATTGTTTAATCATTTTTGCCTTGTGGTAACCAGTGGCAAACCTGCGTTATAAATGAGGAAATTAAAGGGCATCTTCCGTGGCTCGTATTAAAAAATGTTTAATTATAAATTATATATGAGTTACATTGAGGACAATTTGTTTTAATAATTTTTATATTCTAAGAAGAGCAATGGAAGTATTGGCTTTAAAATTATGTATAGTTTTATTTTTTGACCTTTGAGGGCAGTGAAATGTTACGATTTTCAAAAATAGTGGTGATCTCTGGTAGCAAAGTGGATTTAGTTGGTACTTTGTGAGTCAAAAGTAAAATATTTCCAGCATTTTTACGAAAATTCAATTTTTAAAAAATTGATTTTATCGTTTTGGTATAACTTGAAAACGTAGATATTTTAATTTTTAATAATAATAATATTATTTATTCATAGGTACTATGAATCTATTGTTACTGTTTTACGGTATTTACAGAAATATATTGTTATTAAATTTTGAGTTGATATATTATAGGATAAATATAACATATTATTTTAATAATAAAATACTATTATTTACTAATATGATAAATGCGATATTTTCAGAAACAATTTTAACAACCTACTACAATACTTTAGTAAAATAAATAACTTTAATAGCTATATCAGATAACATATTATGAAATATACTAAAATAGTCATTTATTATTGAATTGTAGTCAATTAACTTACTATTTGATTTTATGCTGTGTATTAATTTATTTTTTATTTAGTTTAATTTCTTAAACACATGAATTATTTGGGGTTCGCTGGGAGGACTTGAGTATATTGAAATTATGGTTATACTAGATAATAGACTATGGGCTAATGTAGATTAGAGCTATTGTATTTAAATAAATAAGGATTAAGGAAACCGTTGAATGATATTATTTATACAAAAATAAACAAGTGAAAATTAGATTTTGTTTATTGCTGTAATTTATATGATATATAATATTAAATAACTATCTTAACATATTACTCGATAAATTATAGTAAAATAATTTTGTATTACTATACAAATTATTAATAAAATATAATAATGTACTATTATTTATTATTAATATAAACGTAAATGACTGTAATCTTTTAATATTTTTAAGTATCATATTTTTTTTTATCATTTACATATTTTAAAATAAAATAGCATTCAAGTCATTGATACATCATAACATATTAAATATGTTATTATTATGAAGGTTAAGTTGTAAAAATGGTTCAGGGATGAAAAAATATATCTCTAACTAAACTTTTAATACTATTTAGGTATGCCTGTGCCCTGTACTGTTAATAGATATAGATAATAACGAAATGCAGTCACTACAATAAAATATAATTTAAATAATGTATGTCTTCGGTATTTAAATACACTATAATAAACAATTTTATGAGGCTAATAAAACAATACAATTATGAATTAAACTTAATTTTAAATCTCTATACTTGCTTAATTGAGTCATAGCATTATAAATGTCATAACATTTAAAAGCTTATTTCAGATTTTTTCAAGCAAAGTTATGTATTATAGTCCAACAGTAAAATTGAACTTAGTTTCAAATGTTAGTAGACCGCTATACATCTTATCGGTAATGATATTTTACAATGTTTCTTTGCCCAAAATAAATGTATTAATTATTAGTAATCTGTAATATCGATAAGTTTAATAGAATATAGTAACAAATGTCGAAAGAGAATGAAATAATTATTTCGTCACCAGTCATATAACTAATTAGTCTTTTCACATTTTAGTCTTTGAAAAAATATCGTGCGATATGAAAGATCGTTTTAATGCAGAGTTATTGAAGCGGCACTGTCACTCAAAAAATAGTGTTTTTAACTAATGAGCGATATTATCAATTAATTAAAGATGTCGATTGTGGTAAAACGAAAAATAAAAAAAAAACGGCGTGACTATTAGCTGCTTAAAAACATGATGTTTGGTCGTTAATATTATACCTAATAGTAGTCTAATTTATTCCTGTAAAAAATAATGATAGCAATATTTTAAATTAAACAAAAGAAAATTATGTTTTTAATGTGTTATATGATATCGCTAAGACATGGAAAACAAGATAAAATGTTTTATGAGTTTAAAAGTAAGTTTAAAAATACCACGCGCTAAGAAGTAGATTTTTATTTGTCATTATGTGAACTGTGTCAATTAAAATACAAAAAAATTAGAAAAGAATTAAACGTGAAGCCCATTATTTTTAATGAATTTAATAATCGCTGTCAAGTTGATTTGATTGATTTTCAATTGAATGCTGATGAATTTTTTAAATTTATAATGATATCTATATCAGAACCATTTAACTAAGTTTTTCGTTATTAAACCATTAAAGATCAAAATTACAGAAGAACTGGCTTATATTTTAATTTAACTTGAAGCACCTTCCATATGATAGTCGACAACGATTGTGAATTTTCTAATTAAATTGAAAAAAAAGAATATTTTATCATGACGAAATTTAAAATAATTTGAAAATTTTTTTGTATTTTTCCTTTATATGTACCTACGATCTACACACATTTATGTATTTTCTAGAATAATATAATGGTAATATTAACTAATAACTGTATACTACCATATAATTTGTTTTTTTTTGTTTCATTTTTATTAATGCATTATTATTTATTTTTTTTTTTTAATATTAAATTGGTATGTAGTGATTAATAAACACTTTCTCGTATACTAATAAAATTAATTTTCCAGGGTTAAGTATTATTACTATAAAAGGAAATGGATTTTCCTAGTAATTTCCCTATTCTTCAGATTGCTAATTTTTTGTTTGTTATTTTATGAAATACACATAGTTATTATACAAAATACTTAGGAAATGTATGTAAAAAAAAAAATATAGTTAACATTTCTTAAAACATCACTAGGTATTATATACTATTCCTATAAGAATTTTATAAAATACCAATATTATACACTCTACGTTTCTACTGCAAACATATATAAATATATTTCATATACAAAAAAAGTTAGAAAATAGAATATTCATGAATATTAATTACAATTTGTTTATAAGATACCTATAAAACAACAATAAGTGAATCATTAATTTTAGATATGTATTATATTCTGTGAATATGTCATTTATTTATAGGTATAGTTACATATGCTTTTAATTTAAATTTTATTTTACATTCAGTATTATTAATAAGAGAAAAGACTCAAAGAAGTCATTAAATAATTTACACTAATTTAAATTAAACTTTAAATAAAATAAAAACGTCTTAATCTCAACTCATAAATTCGTATATAAATTTATAAATACGCATAATAGGTTACACATGCAAGAAAAAGCTATATCTATGTTGAAATGTATAAAATATTAATTTATACCTTTTCTTGTTACATCTGTATATAATACTAGATTTACGTTTCTAATGTTTCTATATTCTCTTTAAATCTAATTTTAATTTGTCATAAGTTTTATATTACTCATTGTATAATAAATATTGTTGTTATTTTCGATTTTTGCTTCAATTAGAAATAATAATAGATAAATTTTAACTCGTACAAAATATTGTACTTAATTTCATGTTATTTATTATGATAAATAATAATAAGAAATTAATTCTTCCAGATTTTACATCGTACATCTGCAATGTATGCAAACTAACATAATCAAAACATCCGTACGTATTTTTTTCTCGAGAAATCTCACATCTCATATTATTATTTAT